TAGCTCATAGGGAAACACGAACGTAGAACAAAACCTCACCTGTCTTTAGTCCCACAGGGCTGCGAAGTGCAAATCTCTGCTGTTTTTTGAACAACTTGGGCCCGATGCAGATAAACAGGGAACCACATCCCTAAAGCTCCCGTGGCAAAGGAAACAGCAGAGGTAGCCAGGGATGAAAACACATAGCTGCGACTGGAGACAAAGGGGGTTGTAAGTCAGTTCCATGAGTCTTCTGAACAGACTAGAAGAAAGAAGGCAGATATGCCACAGGAAACTCTTACTCATATACAGTAGCCCAGAAATAATCTCAAAACCTCTTTCCAGAGTTGGATGTCTATAATTTATAACGAGGCAGCTATAATTAAGGGGCTGCCACAAAGAAGAGGGAGTCAACCTATTCTCTGAAATACCTGAAGGCAGGACAAGAAGCAATGGATGGAAACTAATTAAGGAGAGAAGCAACCTAGAGTTAAGGAGAAATTTCCTGACGGAACAATTAATCAGTGGACTGGTTTGCCTCCAGAAGTTGTGGGTGCTCCAACACTGGAGATTTTAGAGAAGAGATTGGACAACCATTTGTCTGAAATGCTATAGGGTTTCCTGCTTGAGAAGGGGGTTGGTCTAGAAGACCTCCAGGGTCCCTTCCAACTCTGTTATTCTTAATTTCTACCATAAAAGGGGCAGCTCCATGACAAATGAGGGCGAAAAACCACACCAGCTTAATATGACGATACAAAGGAATTAAAAGTCCTCTAGGGAAGGACTGCTATCATTTCTGTAATATACAAGGCACTTAGCACATCAATGGTGTTGACATTACATTAAACAGTTGCTGTCATCAGCAGCTTCATGAAAAAGAAGCTGGAGAAGTGGAATATTGTGGGCAATTTTCAAAAATGTTACTCTCAGTTGTCTGGCTTTGCACCTGTAAAAAGTATCTCAAGTTGGTTTCTAACTGAGAAAAATTTAAAATCAACCCTAAGAAGGGTTGCCTTACTTTCTTATCAAGGCCTTCATGTCCCTCAGCCAGGAGGTCCGGGCCTTCAGCTGTGCCCCCAGTTGTTCGGCATTGCCTCTTTTAGCAGCTGGTACAAATATTAAGATAAGTGTCCCTGTGATCATACCTAGAAGTGGAGAAACCTAGAAGAGAAGAGGGGAGGGGGGGAACAGCTGAGAAAACAGCCCAAAGCTAATGATCTGACATCAAAACGCAAGACGAAGAACAGGATTCCTAGATCAGAGCAGAAATTCCTCTCCCTGATTCACCTCTAAACAAGACCTGCCTGTATAATGCTATACAATTTGTTATGGAATTTATGTATGTGTGTGTGTGTGTGTTTTATATACACAGCATAAAATATCTGGGAGAAATATCCGACTTACCTCATTCCATTCCTTGCTAAATAGACAAAGCTATTATCCATTGAATCTCTCCTTTCATTAATCCACTTGCAATTTTTAAGTGAACCTCCCTTTCCCTCCTCCTATCCACAATCTACAACATGAACTATATGAAAGATAATTATGCTGGCACGATTTATAATGCTGATGTAAAAAAAAACCAAAAAACGCACCACCCTCCTAAATCATGCATTCAATGTCCTCTCAGCACTTGAAAATGCCATGCAAATCTCATCTATAAAACAGAACTAATTAACCTGCATAAAGATGCTTATTCCGAACCAGGCATGTGACGGTATTCAACACTTCTAAATGGCACCATCTCTGAAATCCCACCTCTGCAGAAGGCCGGTGACAAGAAAACAGAGATCACCTCTCTGCTGGCCGGAATCCAGGAGGGTCAAAGATCAGTAAGCAGTTTGGCGGTCTTATTTCCTCTCGGCTATTTTTCCATCCATCCCAAAAAAAATTGTGGGTATGTCTGCTCTGTGCATTGTGTGCTCGTCTTCCCTAGCACATTTATCAAGGTCCCCAAGGGGATAAAATAGAAGGAAATAAGAAGGCTCGGTGCAGGAAAAGAAATGCGAAGTGAGACAAAGTGTTCCTCTCTCTCTCTCATGCACCCCCGAACAGAAAAAAATAAAAGCCTTTATGTTTAATAATAAGAGAAATTAAGAACAGTGTGGACTGAGGCCACCTTGCCTTTGCTATCTCAACAATAAACCAGCATAAATCAGAAGCGCCCTAAATTGTGTAACAGATTTTGTATCCAACAAACAAAGGGAGTAAATGAAAGAGAAGCTATGGGAGAGAGGTGAGGTGGAAATCTCCCCGAGAAATGGCAAAAAATACATCATACAGGGTTTCAATTTGGCTGAATAACTGAATAACAGAATTGGAAGGGACCTTGGAGGTCTTCTAGTGCAGTGTTTCTCAACCTTGGCAACTTGAAGATGTCCGGACTTCAACTCCCAGAATTCCCCAGCCAGCGAATGCCCTAATCCCCTGCTTAGACAGGAAGCCCTATACCATTTCAGACAAGTGGTTGTCCAATCTCTTCTTTAAAACTTCCAATATTGTAGTACCCACAACTTCTGGAGGCAAGTGGTTCCACTGGTTAATTGTTCTGACTTTCAGGCAATTTCTCCTCATTTTTAGGTTGCTTCTCTGCTTGATTAGTTTCCACCCATTGCTTCTTGTCCTGCCTTCAGGTCAGTGGTGAGTTGCCAATTTTTTTTACTACCGATTCGGGCGTGTTCGCTCTTGGCGTTTCTGCGCATGCCTCCCACCATCGCTACTACCGGTTTGCCCAATCTGGGCTGAATTGGGAGCAACCCACCTCTGCTTCAGGTGCCTTGGAAATAAGTTGATCCTCTCTTCTTTCTGGCAGCTCCTTAGATATTGGAACACTGCTATCATGCCATCCCTAATCCTTCTTTTAATTAAACTAGACATGAAACTAGCTGTTTCAGTTTTAGGCCAAGTTTTATATATAGCTGGATTAAATAGAGTCCTTCTCTCTGACATTTTTTAGGTGGGGAAGTGAGTGGGCAGGGGTTGCATTTAAATTAATTCAGATCTTTGTAAAAGGAACATTGTCAGTGTAATAATGGTACGGTATAGTCAAAACAGCCATTATGGGGTACTAGCACTTCACTGCAATTCTTTCTACTTTGAGTATCAGTTTATGAGTGCCAACATTTACGCACTCAGAACAATACCAAAAGAGAAAAGGAGACAATTTAGTTGATGGTTTAGTTTTTTATATCAGCACGATATAAAACAATGTTGAGACTTTAGAAAGAGTACAGAGAAAAGCAACAAAGATGATTAGGGAACTGGAGGCTAAAACATAAGGAATAATGTTTGCAGAAATTGGGCATGTCCAGTGTAATGAAAAGAAGGATTAGGAATGACATGATAGCAATATTCCACAAAGAAGAGGGGATCAACCTAATCTCCTGAGTACCTGAAGGAAGAACAAGAAACAAGGGATGGAAACTAATCAAGATGAGAACCAACCAAGGACTAAGGAGAAATTTTCTGACATGAAGAACAATCAACCAGTGGAACAACTTGCCTCCAGAAGTTGGGAGTAAGTGTTCCATCATTGAAGGTTTTTAAGAAGATCTTGCACAAACATCTGTCTGAAGTGGTATAGGGTCTCCTGCTTGAGCAGGGGGTTGGAATGGAAGACCCCCAGGGTCCCTTTCAACTCTGTTATTCTGATTGGCAAGTTTAGAGGTTTGCCAAAATTGAGGTGGGGGGGATGGAAAAAACCTAAAGGAAATGAAGCTGAAGAACTCAAAGAGGGCTGGGAGGGGGTGAAATCTGAAAGAAAACTGGGGGAGAACAGAAATGGATTGCTGGGAAGAACATCCTGCTTACCAGAATGCAAAAAGTCAGCAAAGACTGTAATGGTTCATTTCTGGTCTTTGGCTCTCATCATTTCCCCACATATACCTCTACAAACACCTCCGAATATACCTCAGGGACACAGTGGCCCTGTGTGCACAACCCATTAATTCAGCCACTAATAAGCCAAGCCAATCTCTTCACTCATGGATTTGATTAGACAATCCACATTAACTGAACCCAAATGAGTCATTTTGGAGCTACAGTGTTCCCATCAACTTCAACCCCATCAAACACTTCAGAAAGGAAAATGGTGAGTCAAACGTTGGCCTCAGATGCACTGTTGACATTGTAATGTAAGCCACACCTCTGGCTGACCATGTAGAATAATTTAAAAGGCAACCTCTGGTCACAGGAAAATTGTCCAGGTCTTACATGCATATCATCCAAACCTTCTGGGAATTTTGAAGGAATAAATATGTATGGAAAAAAACAGGCAGTAAGCAGCACCCACAAATTATTTCCTAGCCTTCTTCTAATTGTAGCACAATTAACCTCTACTATAACTACACTCAACTGCAAAACTTTATGTTCAAAATAATATACCGTAAGAAGATAAAATTTAATTTCTATCAAATCTTCTCTCCACAAGCATCACTCTGCACGCCATGCTGAGTCACTTTGATTGAATAAACAAACCATAACTTGTTGTATTTATGCTTCACACAAAGCCAAATACTATGATTTACAAATTGCAATCTTTAGATTTGAAGAACATGTTAAGTTAAAGCTAAACAAACCAGACATCAGGGCTTAATACATCAGAGATCAGGTACATCAAATATATATCAGGCCCAGAGGTGGGTTGCTTCCGGTTCGGCCCGGATCGGGCAAACCGGTAGTTGCGGTGATGGGAGGCTCCACCCACCCGCCCAGACACTTCTGCACATGCACAGAAGCACCGTACACGCAGGAATACTGATCAAGCCATTACGTTGCACCCGAATTCTGCTGAATTATAAATTATGTTTAAACCAGGGAGAAAGAGGCATGATATTTATTCAGATTTTTCTATACAAACGTGTTAAATCTAAACACGAGTTCATTACTAGAGCTATAATACACAGGCTGCAAAAACTGGGCCATCACTAGATAGCAGCCATGAGTTGGAGTGTCCTCTTTGCTGCCATCTTGTGGTGACTTAGATTTTTGCAATGCAGATATGATAATCCTGCTCACTACTCACCCGCAGCGCCCAGTGCCAATCTCCAGCTACTTGCTTGACACTTGATCCCGTGATATATCCTAAGCCACTAGAAAACAGAAAGAAATAAAAAATATTAAAATAAAAAACAAGGGGGAAAATGAAATATGACTTTAGTTATTTGGTCAGGTTTTGAGCCAGCCTGTGTTCCCAATGGCTCCAGATATATTCATTTTACCATAGTTGCCAAATCAAAAAAAGAAACATGTCTGTCAAGATATTACAGTATTTTGGGGATTACCCAGATCTTAGTTGACAAAGAGATGGCTGTAAAGTGATCCTGAAATCTCTTTATTTTTGTTGCTTCCTTGATGCTTCCTTGATATTATTACTCATCCAGCACTTTAAGCATAGCCAACCCAATAATATCAGAAACAGGATCAGAATAGAATAGAGCTGGAAGGGACCTTGGAGATCTTCTAGTCCAACCCCCTGCTCAAGCAGGAGACCATTTCAAACAAGTGGCTGTCCAGTCTCTTCTTAAAAACCTCCAGTGTCCACAACTTCTGGAGACAAGCTGTTCCACAGATTAATTGTCCTCAGTTTAGGAAGTTTCTCCTTAATTCCAGGTTGCTTCACTCCTTGATTAGTTTCCATCCATTGTTTCTCGTCTTGCCCTCTGGTGCTTTGGAAAATAAGTTGTGTAATAATATTACACAAGGCTCTAAATTTCTAATGTAAGAGATTTCTACACATTCCCAAGCTCTATATATATAGGCAAGAGTCCTAGCAATCTCATTAAAAATAATTATGTCTGGTTCACAAAGACAGTTTTTCAATCGCCTGGCCTATTTTAATGGATTTTCTATTTTGCACCCAGACATTTTGAAAATACATTGCGGGCATTCTCATAAAATGGAATATGTGCCAGTTCACAACACTGCTCCCACGGTGGCATGGTCAGCCACAGGGTACCAAAAAAATAAATTAGCTCTCACGAATTGTTAGGTAAGCTCCCCGTTGGGAGAGCGAGTGCGTTCAGAGAAGCGTTGTGAGAGTTGTGTTGGAGAACACACA